TCGGGGGTAAGGTGTTTAACAAGGTGTAGGGGTTAGGCACCATGGGGTGGATGCCAGCTGTCTGTTTATTGACCTCCCTGAGGTCCTGGACTGGCCAGTAGTCATTGGAATTTGGTTTCTTGACAGGCAGTAGGGGTGTGTTCCAGGGTGACTGGCATGGAACCAACACCCTTAGTTGTCTTAAACATTTTATGTGGGGAGTAATGCCTTCCCGAGCTTCCCTGGACATGGGGTACTGCTTTACTTGTATCAGCAGGGTCCCAGCTTTTAGTTTCACTACTACTGGAGGGTGATGGGCTGCATGCCCCATCCCCCTGGTTTCTGCCCACGCCTTTGGGAATTTAGACAGCCATTCCTTTAGGTCCAATGGTGGGTAGGGATCAGCCTGAGTCTCATGAAGTCGGTGCTTATCAGACAGTGAGACCATTAACACACAAATAGATTTCCCATCAGCATGGGTGACTTGAACTCCTTGAGATTGGAAGTGGATAAGGGTCCCAATCTTTGTTAGTAAATCTCTCCCCAACAAGGGATAGGGGCACTCAGGTATGACCATGAAAGTGTGGGATACCCGGCCTGTCCCTAGGTCCACTGTCCTTCGAGTAATCCATGAGTATTGACTGGTTCCTGTTGCCCCTTGAACCTATGACTTACCATTTGACAGCACTCCAAGAGGTTACTTGAGGATGGAGTGCTGTGCTCATGTGTCCACTAGGAAATCAATGGGTTTCCCCTCCACTTTTAGAGTTACCCTGGGCTCAGGGAGGGGCTCCAAACCCTGTCCCCTCTAATCACTAAGTTCACCCAGCTCTAGGACTCCAGCCACCCCGACCTCAGGCCCGTGACAGGAACTCCGGGCATTCTCTCTTCCAGTGTCCCTTCTTCTTACAAAAGGCACATTGGTCCTTCTTGAGGGGGGTCCTTCCACCCCCCCCAATTCTCTAGCTTACCTTCCCCCTTCCAGGGGCATCTTGGTGACCTGCTTGTTGCTCCTGTAGTGGCTAGTAGTACTTTGGCCAGGCCTTGGGTATGTTTTTTGTTGGCTGCGATCAATGATCTGGTCTGCTTTTCTTCTGGGGTTTCCCAGTTATTGTACACTTTCTCTGCCACTGCTAACAGTTCTGAGATGGTTTTGTCTCCCAGTTGCTCCAGGCGCTGCAGCTTCTGATGAATGTTGGGCGCCGACTTGTTTATGAAAGCCATGATCACTGCTGACCGGTTTATGGGGTCTTCAGGGTCCATGGTGGTGTAAGTACGATATGCCTCTAGGAGGTGCTCCAGAAAAGCTCCAGGGGCTTCCTCCTTACCTTGCTGGATCTGACTTTGGCCAAATTAGTGGGCTTTCAGGCTGCCGCCCAGAGGCCTCCCTAAGAACCTGACGGTAGACCTTGATTCTCTCCTTACCTTCAGGGGTGTAATAATTCCAGTCCAGTCAGGTGAGGGGGAACCCTCAGCCACCCTCTCAGGGTTGGAAGTAGGGTTCCTGTCATCCCCTGGGATGAGTTTCTGAGCCTCTGCCGGGATTCTCTCTCTCTCTTCCATTGTGAATAGAATTTGGAGGAGCTGGCTGCAATTGTCCCAAGTGGGCTGGTGGGTGAACAAGATGGAATCTAACAAGTTAATCAACCCACTAGGCTTTTTGAAAACGGGGGGTCTGCATCTTCCAATTATACAGGTCACTTGTGGAAAATGGCCAGTATACCACATTTTGATGCCCTTGAGTGTCTGGGGGCCTTATGGCCCTCAGGGGAATGCTGTGGAGTCTGGTTCAGAGCCTGCTCTCTGAGCGCTTTCCCTCTGGGTTTTTCCCCTGATGTGTGGTTCCTCCTCTCCCTTGGCCCCTGCGGGTGCCAGTGGTTCTGCCTCATTTCCTCCCACCACTTGGTAATGGAGTGGTGTCAATAACATAGCCTCCTCACGTGGATCAGTGGAAGGGGACAGGACCGGGAAGGGAGGTGTGGTGGGCTTTCACGTTCTGAGGGTCAGAACTGCAGGGTTAGGGGGAAGGAAGGGTTTTAACCAAGCAATGAGGGGTGTGGGATACATAGGAATAAGTAGGTTAGCAGAACGACTTCGAAAGGGGAAAAATCTTGCAAAGTCCCTTGGAGAAAAAGATCTGCAACCCACTCACAAATGTCCTCAGGGGCATTTGTTATGTAACAAGACCAATCCTCCAAGAGGCACCACACAAATGATTGGAATTTACACCTCAAACACAAACTAACAGACATACATTCCAAACGCACCGCTGGCTTCCCCGGCAGTGTTAACTTGGCTGCCTGGGGGCACTCTAACCCACTGAGCAACTGGTACCCTGGTGGTGGGGACTCTAACCCCTCCACCAGGCTTTCTGTCTGGCCACAGGGACTCTAATCCTCAGTCAGATCAGCCAGGTGAACAGGAGACGTCTCTCTCAGTTCACAGCTGGGTCCCTCTATTGGCACGTCTGCCTAGGGCCCCTGGCTACCCAAAACTCTAGGTGCCACAATAAGACGAGACAATGGCTAGACAACTGACACACAACTCACCGGTGTAGAACACTGTGTGAGGTGGAGTCTCAGGGGTGTCTATCCAGGATGAGCCCCCAAATGTTGAGACTGAAATTGCAGCTGAGAGGCCACCGTACACACATGTAAAAGCAAAGGAGTGTCTTTATTCAAGCATATGCCTGGGTCACTCCACCTAACAGCGTGGCTGTGGAGGGGCGACCGTGAAATGAAGCGAGGAGAGGTTTTTAAAGTGTATAGAGGAATTACATCAAGCATTTTGTCAGGAGGGGTTGTCATTGGCTGGGCTGTTGTCCAGGGGTGCTTGGCATCACCTGATATGCCAAAGATCTAAGGGTGGGTTTACGGTTAGGTATTTTCCAGAAGAGGGTAGTTTATTCACTTCTGATAAGCTGACTCCGCTTGGGCTGATTGACCTTGCCCAGAAATGTGGAGGGGAGATGTCTGTTCCCTTTTGATCGGCTGGCTCCACCTGGACTGATTGACCTTGCCCAGAGCGGGTGTCAATGTGCCTAAGTTCTAAAATGAAGTTACATTGGCCTCTTCACTATCAACTATACCAACCACTGAAAGAATGAAGAGTTATAGCGAATAAGCCAATAAAGTATAGTAAGATGGTGGATTTAAATTTAATCATATACATAATCACATTAGATGCCAATTGTCCATCCCAATTAAAAGGGAGAGACTGTCAAACGAATAAAAAAGCAAGACCCACCTCTCTGCTCCCTACAGGAAATGCACTTCAAAGACAAAGATACAAATAGGTTAAAAGTAAAAGAATAGACAAAGATATACCATGCTAACACTTCTCAACCAATATGCTGAATTGGCTATATTTGTATAAGAAAAAGTAGATTTCAGAGCAAAGACTATCTTCAGGGATAAAGAAGGTCATTTCATTTCAAGTCACCATGAGCATGTAACAATTCTAAGTATTTCTGTACTTAATAGCAGAGCTTCAAAATGCCTAAAGAAAAAAACAATAGAACTGCTAAAAGAAATAGATAAGTTCATAATTACAATCAGGGATTTCAACAAGCTGTTTTTAATAATTGATAGAACAAGTAGACCCTAGTGCACATGTGAAAGATTTGAAGAATGCTCTAAAGCAATTTAACCTAATTGGGAAAGGAAGTACAACTGTTTTTATTTGCAGGCATCATGATCAGCTATATGAAAATAAGAAATACTTAGGAATAAATCTGAAGAACAATGTGAAACCTGTATGCTGGACACTACTAATCATTGCTGTGAGAAATTAAAGAACTAAATAAATTGATTTATATAAGATGTCAGTACACATCTATTAGATTCAATTGGCACACCACTTTGGAAAATAGTTTGGCAATTTCTGAAGAAGCAAATGATGAATGTATAGTGATAGAAAAGAGAGCCATGGTTGCCTAGAGAAGGGGAAGGGGCCAGGAAGGGAGGAAAAGAAGGATTATATAGAGGCAAGAGAAAACTTTTGAGACAGAGTCTCATTCTTTTCTTTTCTTTTCCCTCCCCTTCCCTTCCCTTCCCTTCCCTTCCCTTCCCTTCCCTTCCCTTCCCTTTCCCTCCTCTTCTCTTGTTTTGTTTTGTTTTTGAGATGGAGTCTTACTCTGTCAACCTGGGTAGAGTACTGTGGCATCATAGCTCATAGCAAACTCAAACTAACTCTTGGGCTCAGGTGATCCTCCTGCCTCAGCCCCCCAAGTGGCTGGGACTATAGGTGCCTGCCACAATGCCCAGTTAATTTTTTCTATTTTTAGTAGAGATAGGGTCTTGTTGTTGCTCAGGTTGGTCCCGAACTTCTGAGCTCAGGCCATCCACCCACCTCAGCCTCTCAGAGTGCTAGGATTACAGGTGCGAGCCACTGCACCTGGCCAGACAAGAGAAAACTTTTTGGAGGTAATAGAAATGTTCATTACCTTAATCATGACAATAGTTTAACAGGTATATGCATTTGTTAAAACATATTCTACCCTTTCAGTATGTGCCATTTATGGCTTGTCAATTATACATCAACAGATCTGCTTTTTGAAAATCAAATGGAATGTGCTTATATGTGGAAATGCAGGCTGTTTTCTCACAACAGTGATAAGAAAAATCTACAAAAAAGTAGAATCTACAAGGCAGAGGGGAGACATTTAGGCTTTTAGATTTATTTTTCAGAATGACTAAGATCAGAGAACGACAGAATGAGTTCTTGCTTTGGCTGTGATTAATTCATCCTGTTTCTTTGAAGTCAGCCAAAATTTGCAGTGTTGAATTGCCTGAACAGTTTTTGTGGAATAATGAGGTTAGTTGAAAATCAGCATACCTGCCTGGATGAGGCAAAAGGCAAATCCTTGTTGTGTTTAGCTGTGGAAGAATCACAAAGCTCCGAGAGGACCATGTGCAGTGGTGGTGACTTGGACCACCTTTGGAGAGATGTGAGGAAAGCCTATTGCCCTTGAGGGTGTGGAAGGGGCTGGGAAGCCTTATTGACTGTTCTTTTATATACAGTGCATTTGCCAGATGTTGGATGCTATAGCTGTCAGTGGCTATGGAGGTGAGAACTTGAAGTTGCAGCTGGAAACCATTGCCAGCTTGCTGTTCCAGGTGGTGAGTGCCGTGGTGCTTTAAGTGTTCTGGGCTTGCCCTTTCCCTCTTTTGGGGGGTGATGGCCTCCCCAGACCAAGTCATCACCTATACACAGCACAGGTGTCATCTTCATTCTGACCTTAGCTGCTGTACACACTTCAGGCTTCCTTAGAACAGGCACATGCCTGGATTTGGGCACAGAATATGATCTTCCCCATGAGGTCAAATGGATATGTCCTGTATGTTTCCTGGGGTGACAGGCATTTGTTGCTTTCTTTAAACTTTGTAAATGGGCACAAGGTTCAAGCCTCTCCACCACCCTGTGGGAAATGGCAGGTCTTCTGTGTTGTGGAGTAGGAAGAGAACCATTAAGATTTTGCAAAAGGGTGATACCTTTCTTAGGTTTCATTTTTTTGGCCACTGACTTGCTCTCCCTGGGGAGGGGAATGTGGATTCCTGGGTTTAGATTTTCTGTTTTACCTAAAGCCAAGCACTATGCCTGTCACGGCTTCATGCCTCAGCTTCCTCATCCATGACTAGGGGCCCTACTTTCAGTCCTCCCTGTCTGATGGCCTTGATCTTCCTACAGCTGAGTGAAAAAGTCATCCAGTCAGAACCCCTCTCTGTACAGAGCCACACCTCAGCCCTGAGAGCTTTCTACCTGCTGAGTAAGTGGAAGCCTTTCTCTGGCCCTAGGTATTTGTATGTGCACAGGGGACATGTGTATGCCCAGGACCACATTGGTCTCTCCTTGGACTGAAGAGACAGCTAGGGTCCCATAGGGGGTGCTTCCATCCTTCTAGACAAGATGGAAAGTAATTCATGAGTGCTTCACCTGAAATTAAATGAATCTGATAGGGCACAAGCATTGCCTATTCTCTTTTGTCTACTCTCTTAACCTGGAACCAACTTCCCTTTCTTTTAGGGGGATCCTCAGCTCAGAAAGGAGATAATGTCACTACAGCACTCTTGAGCAGTGTGCTGATCTAGGGTAGGGCCTGCCGGGGATAGGTAGGGGAGGACCAAGGTCTGGCTTGGGAAGAGCCTCTGGCACTGTGGTAAGTGCTGGACAGGTTCTGGTTTTCTTTCTTCCCCCTTCCTTTCTCCACCATAAGGGACCCTGATTTATCTAGCCCATGGTGTCAGTGGTTTGCTGGAGCATTACTTACTCCTGCTTATTACCTGCCACTGACACAAGCCTGCAATTATCTTGTCTTCACACCCTCTTGACAGGCAAATTATACAGGGATCCTCTGTTTGAAATGCTTCAAGAAAGGATGAAAGCTGAGGACCCGGAAGCAGTCGTGTCAACACTGGAGGTCTTCAAGGAGGTCTTCCATGGAGGTGAGGGGGAGTAGGGTGAGGTCCTGGTGTTTCAGGACTTGCTCTCTGGGAGATCTCTTTCCTTTGGGAGAGACAGTTCAGTCTAATGGTTAAAGGTACTGGTTTAATCTCGAAGTCAATTCAGTAGGTTTAAATCTTGCCTTTGCCTCTTGCTACCTGTGCAAACTGGGTCAAATTCCTTTTAGTTTGTGACTCTATTTCCTCATTCAAAAAAATGGAGTTGGGTGGCACCCATAGCTCAGTGGGTAGGGCACCAGCCATGTACACCGAGGCTGGTGGGTTTAAACCTGGCCCAGGCCAGCTAAAACAACAATGAAAACTACAACAACAACAACAAAAATAGCGGGGTGTTGTGGCAGGTGCCTATAGTCCCAGATACTTGGGAGGCTGAGACAAGAGAATTGCTTAAGCCCATGAGTTTGAGATTGGTGTGAGCTTGGTAGGGGGCCCATGGCATGGGTAGATGCCATGGCACTCTACCCAGGGTGACAGCTTGAGACTATCTCAAAAAAAAAAAATGGAGTTAGTAATATTACTTACCTGTAGGGGATTTTAGTGATGATGAAATGAGCACCATGTGTGAGATGCTACAACAGTGATTCCTGTGCAGTTGGTTTTAGAGAAGTTTATCTATGACCATTGCCTCAGAGAACAGGCTTCATTCCCAGTCAAGCATTTTTGTTAAATGTTCACTGTGTGCTCAGCACAGTGCAAAGCACTGAGAATACATGAGGGCAGAATACACAGGCCCTGCTCCCTATGAGCCTGCTTTTGGGCAGGGTAGATGAGACTGTTCCTGTGAAGAAGTAATGCCTGGGAATGTGCACTGCATTGCTGAAGCAACACGACAGGAGTGCAGGAAGGGATCAGCCGGGCTTGGGACAGCTTCATGGAAGAGATGACTCAAAGGTGGGGATGGAGAACATCACTGGAGGCTAGGAGTGGTAGCTTATGGCAGAGAAGAATGGGGTGCAGGCTGAGATGCACAGAGCAGGCTGAAGAGTGGGTTTGTGTGGGCAGTCACAAGAGAATGGTGAGGACAGGGGCTCCAGTACCAGCTTGATGAAAAGACTGTTTCAGGGGACTTTTCTGTCTAGTGTGGGTGGAAGGCAGAGGAGTGGCTGAGACACCTCTGGAGACTCTACTTGGCCTTTGAAGACCAGCCCCCCCCCCCCAAAAAAAAACTCTTCCCACCTGTCTGTCCTCTTGTGTCTTTTGGGACAACAGTGGAGGAGGAAGGAAGCTGCCCTCCAGCCAGCCGCATGTCTGTGTTTTCTCTAGTGCCCCAGACAGAGGAGCTGAAGAGGGACATGATGGACTCCATTGTTATGGTGGTGCAGGAGGATCGTAAACCAGTGAGCAGAAGGGCTGCCTGTTTGTGCTGGGAGGGCCTTGAAGTCTTACTCATGGAAGGAGAGGGTCAGGGGAAAGAGGAGGAAGGGAGGGCCCCCTGCCCAAGCCAGTTCTGGCCTCAGATCTCCACCCCTGGGTTATATTTGGGTTTTTCAAACCCAGGATGAGTTAGGGAAGTGTACAAGTGGTTCCTACTGGCTTCCTCCAGAGCGTTTGCTATGTGTAGCACTATGGTGTCCTCGGGGAAGCTGTGGAGCTCCCATTGACACTAATCAGTTCCCTCTCTGAAGAGCTCAATTTGCTTAAAGATAGAAAGCTCCAGACATCATGTCTAGGGTGGGACGTGAGAAGATGTTTTTGAATAAGCTCCATAGCCAGGGCTAGAGGCTGCAGAGACTCCTGGCTCTGGATAGTACAGAGCAGATCATTGAAATAGCAAGAATAGTTGCTCTGAGAAGCCCCAGGCCCTGGAGTGGGAGGCTGCAGTGGTGGGAGAGTGGAAGATACAAGACAAGCAGATAAAGGGGAGGGGTTTATCTGTGGGGTTATTTTGGGGGTTTGAGTGCCAAATGTAGGACAATGGCATCATCTTAAATGACAAGGGCTCAAATCCCCAGAAGGCCCTTAGGACTTGCAAGATTCATTACTGGCTTGACCTTTGAAGGCCAAAACACAGGGCCTTTCCTGGACTCAGATTCTCCCCTACCCAGATATCTGGGGACATAAAGTGTGGGCAAGCTTGGTGCTTAGAGTTCTCCAGGAGGATTGTAATGTGGGTCTAATGTGGGTCAGAACTTCCTGGGAGCATCCAGAGTGGTTGGGTTTAATGTGCTGTCATAGCCACAGGGTACACTCCACGAGTCACAGTGGAGCTGGAATCGGGAGGTTGAAGTTCCATGAAGACCTCCCTGGCCTGCTATGGTCCTCTGTGTCTTCACCTGAGGCTCAGAGGGCCTCTCTGAGGTCCCTTGCTGTCTGACATAAGATTATCTGTGACCTGGCAGGTGCGCACAGCCCTCCTGAACTTCCTTGAGATGCTGAGCCATCTCGAATACTTGAACCTTCCCAAGGGAAACATCATCATCAAATACCTCATCAAACTCAGTGGATCAGAGCCCGTGGTGAGTGGGGCTGGCCCTGGCCCTGGGGGTCCCAAGGGAGGGAGCCAGCCTCGGGGGGAGGACAGGGAGGAAGGGTAGGGTAAAGAGCGGTGGGGAGACAGGAGGATGGGTTGGTAGGACAGGGTGGGGTTTTGGTCAGGGGAGGCCTTGCCCAGGAGAGGCAGCTGGCATTGCTTTCAGATTTGAGTTCTTTTTTCCTTCCTGCAGAATGAAGAGGCTATCCGAAACCAATGTTTCAAAATCCTGCAGACGGTATAAACAACTGGGGTCAAAGAGACCTCTCCATTTTCTCTTCCCCCAGCTCTCAGCCCACTCCTCTGGCACCACACTCCTTCTCTTCCCCTCCCCTTTATCTGCTTGTCTTGTATCTTCCACTCTCCCCATCACTGCAGCCTCCCGCTCCAGGGCCTGGGGCTTCTCAAAGGAGGGGCTCAGCAGAACACACAACAGTCACTGGGTGGCCAGTTTGGAAGCCTGAGCCCGAGTTCCTCTGCCAGCATCTGTCTGTGACAACTTGAACAAACTGGTCTCTGGGCTGCACTGTCTCCTTCTGTACAAAGCAGGGAGATGATATGCCCCTGTCAGCTCACAGCTATCCCCAAGGCTTCCTGGGAAAAAGAAGGGACACAGCTGAGGCGGGGGGGCTCTCCTGCATGCAGCCGCTGTCCCCTCCCAACAAGCCCTGTCTCCTGATCTTTTACATTTCTTCTGCCTCTGGAATGTTCCCCAGGGAAGGTGATGACAAGTCACACAATTCTAAATTGAAAAAAGCTCCTCTATCTGATCAAGTCCTTTCTGGTGTCTTTTTAATAACAACTGTAGTGACATTTTCCCAGTACAAAGTGAGAAGGGAGAGAGGCAGAGGCAGGGACAATAGGAAGGCTTGGGTTAGAAGGGGCTGTGTCTCAGGCCCCTCCAAGAAAGCCATCTGAGGTCATGGGGTTGGAGGACGCATTATGGGGCTGATTTGGGGTCAGCACTGAAGCCCTGGCTTGTCCACTGCCAGGTACCCTTGCCCAAACTGATGACCTTGGTGTGTGAGCCCAGCAACGCTTCAGCCTTCGTGGTCCTATGTGAGAGTGCCACAGAGGTAGCTCTGAAGGCCCGGGCCCAGGGAAAGTCCCCCTATCTCAGCAGCTTCCAACTCACTCGTGAGTATAGGGGCGGGGAGCTGCTGGGAGGAGTGGCCATGCAGGCTCCAGCTGCTCCAGGCATGGGAAGGGTAGACGCAGGCTGATGCCCTGCTGGGTACCAGGGTACAGGCGTGTGGCCCAGTGAGGCTGCAGGCCATGAGAGCTGTGGAGGAAAGATGAAGGGTTAGGGTCATAGCCGGAGCCCATCAGCCCTCAGCATGGATGGAAAGGAGCCTCTTCTGGAGCAGAACAGCCCCCGCCCACTCAGCACGGGTCTCCTCTGGCCTTTGCTCCTTTTTGTCATACCCTGGGGCACACATGTGGAAGCTTGTGGGCACACAGACCATCCTGTCCTTGGTTCCTCCTCTGTCCCAGCTCTGAGCCTCACTCTACACTCGCCGACACCTGACCTCTCACCCAGTGGGGTGAGCGTGTCCATTTAGCACTGACTTGGTGTTTGTTGATTTCATAAGTTGGAATGACAGAGGTTTGTTTCTTAGGCTTGGTGGAAATGTCCCAGGCCTCTGGCAATGCACAGCTGTGCCTTCTCCACTTTGCCTTTGTTTTTCCTCTGAAGTACTGAGGATGGGCTGCCATGGAGGGGGGAGTCTGGAGATGGGCCCCTGGAACACGCACTGATGCTATCCTCTTCCTGTGTCCTCTCTTTGACATAGCCTCTGAGTTCGTCTCCCCACAGAAACTCCTGACCCATCTTGTGGTAAGTGATGCTGGGGTGGATACTGCATCTCCATCCATCCGTCCACAATAGCTGAGTCACGCTCTGGTCCAGGCATTACCCTGGATATGGAATAAGGGGGCCAAGGACCTTGGAGGCCCTGGGGAGGGGCAGCCTAGGCCACAGGGCTTAGGGGAGGACACTGAACACAGGGGGCGGGGCCCAGAGCATGGAAAACAAGGGCAGACCAGGAAGGCCTGGTCATCTCCTGTGTGGCCTCCTTGTAAGCTTCTCTGTGAACTTGAACAAGTCCCCATGCTCTTCTGGACCTCATTTTCTCAGTTTCTCTATTTGCCTGGCACTGTGATAGATGTTATGAACACATGGAGAGGTGAGGTATAGCCCTGCCCTTGGACCTGCCCTTGAGGTGTTTGCAGCATCAGTGAGAGAAATGGCTCTGAGAATGAATCTAACCATGCAGAGTGATGAGGGCATTAACAGAAGAACCCACGGGGAGGGGGGGTCTCAGCAGAGCAATGGCTAACGCGGCCTCCTGTAGTCACAGAGGGCATCACAGATGAGGTGGCATCTGAGGACATTTGGGGGAATATGCACAACAGCTGGAAGAGAATGGGGAGGCTGAGCTTCGGTTCCAGCACTCTGTGTGTTTGTTCTCATGTTCGTCTTTCCCTTCCCTTAAATTCCCTCTGCCTGCTGTGTGCTGCTCCATTTCTCAGCTGTGTGCCCAGCAGCCCTACAGAGAAAAGGTGTTTGGCATCAGCTCCCTAAGGCTCCTCTATGCCCTGCACCCCATCACATCTCTGCACCCTGTCGTCAATGCGGGCGTGGGCCAGCTGTGGATGAAGGAGATCCCCCAGATGTTGAAGATACTGGAAGGTGAGGGGTTGGTGGGAGGTGAAAGAATGGAGCTGGGCAGCAGGGCTGACTCCAGAAGGGCTGGTCTCCCACGCATAGGCCAGAACTCCCTTGGGGTAAGGAGCACTGGGGCAAGCCTGTCTGTCCCTCGGGGTGCCATCTGGATGAGTCAGTTTCTGGGGGCCCTGCTGTCCCTTGAATGCAGGCACAGGCCAGACCTCAGTGACTCTGGAGTTCCCTGCTGACTTCCTAGTGGGGGAGGACCAGGGCAGGGTGTGCGCCTGGGACCAGGCAGACCCAGCTTCAAATCCTCATTTGGACACTGGCCAGTTGTGTAGATTTGGCCTTGGAGCCTCTGTGAAGTGGGGCAGCAGTTCTGTTGCAGGATTGGGGAGAGAGTGAGATGCGATGCTGGGCGTGCAGCCCCCGGCACAGTGTCCTGACATAGGCTCTTTCCCTGCTGGGGCCTTCAGTCCATGCTCTCTTCTGTCACAGAGCACACAGAGAAGACCCTGAATCAGGAACAGTGGGAGGCCAGGCTGCTCCAGGTGAGCCTTCCCTGAGACCTCTCACCCCACAGTGTGGCTCCCTCCTCAGGGCCCTCAGGGAAGAATGGCCCCAGGCTCCCAGTGGCTGAGGCCACCATCAAGTGACCTTGCTGACCATGGGAACTGCCTTCTGGGCACCTTGTCTCCTGGCACCTGCATCAGATTCTCAGACTCTGCCCTCAGCCTCAACCCCTCTTCCACCCCATCACATTCCCTCCTTCCATGGAGAATGAGGAGAAGACCTCTGGAAGGGTATCCATGGGCAAGCGATTTTGCCTTTCCAGGCCTCAGCTTCTCCATCTGTAAAATGGGAATTAACATTCCTCCTCTGCACAGAAGCAAATGGGATAATTCAGGAGCAGGGATTATCAGCTGGAAAGGGTCCTCTCTCCACTTGAAGGTGGCCCTACCTTTGTCGTCACTGTATTGTCATTCTCTGTCCTGGACCACCCCGTCCCTGCCCTCTGTGTATTTCAGTCTTCCCTGCTTCTGGAGCTCTTTCTCCCTCTTTCCACGCAGCACCTCGTGTCTCTTGCTTCTTTCTTACCCCACTTCCATGTTCAGTGTGGTCCTTTTCTCCCTTCTTCCTCAGTTTTCCAATCAGTCACTGGCGGCCATCAATGATGACAGGTGGCTGGAGCAACTCTCCATGAGCGTCCTGGACAGGATAGTTGGGAACCAGGACAACCAAGACAAGCAGGAGCAGAAGGTGCGTCCGTGTGTGTGCCTGGTCGTGGTGCAGAGGCCTGGTGGGGGGAGGGCTATGGATATGCTCATGAAGACAGACCATGGGGGCCAGAGCATAGTGGTGTCCCTGGGCCCTGAGGAATCGAGGGACAAGAGGTCAGAGAGCTGGAGGAGGAACCATAGTAAGATCATGTGTGTAACGTTGGTGGCGTTTAGGCTTCTTTATCACTTTGCCATTGGTTGTCTTAATTGTGCTCCAGCTCATGTGTAGCAGAGGGGAGCTGGTGCTGGGGTACTGTGGAAAGATTATTGCCCTGCAAGTCAGATTTGAGCAAGTTGATTCCCACAATTTTTGAGGGCTTCCCACAGATTAAGGACCATGCTTGGTGTTGTGGTCCAGGCTTGAATAGGAAGGAGATAAAGGGAAGAAGCTAAGTAAAGATATGGTCTGATCCCATGAGGAGCTTTGCAGGTGAATTGCACTGCAGAGCCTCTCCTGCCATGAACCCAGTGAGGGGACTTTTGAACCTACCCCCTACCTCCATCCATCATTGGTTTCCTTGGTTTATCTAGGGAATGGAGGCGAGAGGGGCAAATGCAACCACCAGGCACCTTCAGGCAAGGAGGGTGGGATGAACCTGTGGGAGGGGAGTGCTCTTAAGAAGCCTGCAGCCAGGCTCGGCGCCTATAGCTCAACCGGCTAAGGCGCCAGCCACGTACACCTAAGGTGGCGGGTTCGAATCCCCAGCCCGGACCCGCCAAACA